CATTTTATATTCTACAAAATCTATTTTAACTCCACCTGAAGGCTTTTTTTAAGGTTACCGCTAGTTCCAAGCCTGCGTAGAGGCTAAGGGTTGGGAATTTTGTTGGCTATCTCATTACATAAAATGTACCATGTTATAAAAACACTGGCCAGGAAAACACACTGAGATCCCTTTTGAAAATGTTTGAGAGAATATTTCGTTTTGCTCAGTTTCCCAAGATAATTAATACATAGCTCATTTGTATTGGTTGTTTGATATTTAAGACTGCAACTGATAAGTCTAGTTGAGCATGTCAGCAACTTGTCAGGATTGCTTCTATATTTACATTAAATCACAATCACTAGAAGTGGAATCGGATGGTCCCATAATGAATATCAACTCTGAGATACAGCTACATCCAGACGACTAGTCAGAGACAGTGTAGTGAACGAGAAAATTAGTGGGGACAATCGAACGTATTTAACCACAAATTACAGACTATCTCACTAAATTCTGATAACCATACAGTGAACAGTTAATTAGCAAAATAACAATCAACTGTCTCAATCTTCACTGTTCCTTCTGCAAATATCAGTCCGTCTCCTCTGATTACAGTGTTCATGCATTTTCGTACCGATTGCGCTTCATTCCTGTACGTTCTTTATTGATCTTCTTTCAAAATACATTCTATGTTTGACCATCACCATATACTACTTATATGAATATAAGTAGACCACACGGCAACAGTACAAAACATGTGTCTTCAATTCCACTGCTAGCAACCATCCAGCTCTATTTAATATTATATAACTTTTTCTGATTATAATCAGCTAAGTTTAGAAGTGTTCATTATTTAGATGACAAATAATATAGAAGTGAATCGTATATCACCTTATTTAAAGTCGTACGATGTAGATCTGAACTTTGTGTGCAACTACGTTTTGACCTGATCGAATCATTTATGATATCATACTGTTTTAAACGTCCTGATTGAAACCGTACTATCTCAAGTTATCTTTATCTATACTTAGCATTGAACGTGTAAGTCATTATAAGGATTAAATAAATCAGTTAGTTATAATTAGTATTGACACTAAGAAATTCAATTAAAATTGATGCTGTCCTTTCTATTTTTTACTTCAACCCCGCTGTCTTCATTTAGTCCATAATCAAATTAAGCTTACTTTAACTATGTGTCTTGTTCAAACGGAGTGTGTTATATAATATAATGTGACAATTACAAATAAGCACCTACTAACAACATTGCGATTGTATAGTGATCATTCTTACCAACAAATATAGGCCACTCTTTGAGGTGGGAACGCATTTCAATAAATGAGTACATTTCCGCGTCATGCAGAATTCAATGCACCATATCGTACTTAGCACAACGTTGAAACTTCCAGAAGTTATTTAGTTTTCAGTCCTTCACTGAACCTGGAGAATGCTCAACCAACATACAGACACAGTTCGTTCCCCCTGATCCGTTCTATTTTCACCTCAGTCTATAGGTCCTCTTATATAACTACACCCACGTTATTGTACACCCGTTACACTAAACTAACTAATAGCGACTGAAGAACATAAAGTTAGGGCTAACAACCATGACTCAGAGTGGTCAAAACGTCGCAATCTCAGGATGCCTAAATAATTACTGGTGTTAAGAACGTTCGTGTTTTTAAATGTATTTTATCCGTGTTTTAATGTTTTAGACTTTTTATACAAAGAAAATATATAGATTACGATTATTGTTTCATAGATTTTTCAATTGGTTTTTTCGCATTTTGGAACATTTTTGCCAAAGCACACTAATTCATTTCTTCATTTTCAGAGACCGTGATTAATGAAGCAATATGAATTTCGCTCATGCTTATTTGAATGTCATGTAACGTCTTGACAAAGGTTTGTATAACTTCAGAGTTCATATTCTGTGACAAGTGTTTAATAATGGTGAATTTATTCACCCTATGCTTCTGGCTGACAAGGTTTGAGATTCCTCACAGAAGGTTCAGTGAGTAAAAGCGCTGAAAACTATCTAAATTAAATAGTTCAAACATTATTAGACTCGTGATCCTGACCTAACACATTTCAGTAGTCTGAACTGACCGAAGGCAAGCAAATAAGAAATGAATTTGGTTCTTAGTTAATATTCTATTTTCTAAAGAAGAGAGAACTTTTTTTACCAACGTTTACAAACGATTTCCTAAAAATGAATGGTATCGTGAGCATATGATGTTAATATTAGCTACATCCGTCATAAAGGACCTTAGCCATGTGAAGGCTGTTGGAAAAGAGAAATCACTAGATATCATGTTCTGACAAATGATTAGCTCTCCTTGAAAGATTTTCATGTTCACGCATCAGTACGAAGTAGTTACCAACAGTCATATTTACCGGGGTCAAAAACAAAATACTTCCCGTCCTCAGACGCACCAGAGCAAACCACATGACGATAAGAGATTATCTCTAAAATGCCACATGGTCGTGTAATAGTGAAGGCTAACAGTGGATGATCACTAGGAAATAGTAGGGTACATTATTCTGAATGTGACCTGACACAATGTACCTCAGAATAAGCACACCTAGAAAGTCAAGATCCCTGGACAAGCTAAGCGCAAAAACCTTGCTAGAGGTCAAACGGAGAGCCTAGGAAAGATTAAAAGTCTCACTAAATGATTAGGGCAGTTTGCTCTTACTTGGGATTGAGAAGGGGATTTGACACTTAAGTTTGCAGCAACAGACTTTTCCAATTAGAGCTGTCAGTGGAAACGCAAACTAATTCCAATTATGTCTGCAGACGCACGACCACAGAAATACCTACATAACAGTTGAACCGTACTTAAAAGTACCGATTAGCGACAACTCACCAGTCTGGAGATGGCAGAGATTCTTGCTGCCTATTTCGTCGATTAACTAAACCAGGAACCTACAAGTTTGGAACGTCTCTCAACTCTTGTATCACTTCAGCGTCTGAAAGATATCCAACTTACTTTTCGGTTAGAATTAAAGAGAATAAAATACTTCACCCAAGTAAACTCATTAAGATGTGACAATATCCTACCTATGGTTTTGAGACAGTGCCAAGGAGCCATGAACATAACAGTATATAACCTGTTCAGGAACTTACAAAATTCACAACAAATGCGAAGAGAATGGAAGCAAGCCACATCCTCTCCAATATTCAAAGGAGGTAATGGACAAGACACAGCCTGTTAAATACCAGTTGCGATACTCTTAATACTACCAGAGGTAATTGAGCAACTGGTGACTGAACAAATGAGCGAGTGTATGGTTAAAAACAACACTCTCTATGGAGTCGAGAACCGGTTAAGTAAACCCAGGCACTGTGTATCCAATCATGTCATAGGATAGGAAAACTGGACGACCTGCTGGGACCATAACATACTGGTTCATGTTATATTTCTGGGTTTTACGGAATCCATTGCTTTAATACCTCATTTACTTCTCACAGAGAAGGTCGCAAAAATGGCTTTTACTGACTCCCATTTGTCCTGGCTCCGAAACTGCCTGGAGAGCATGATGTTTCGCACCATGGTACATCGAAGACAAAAGAGTTTTAAGGCCTCAATATCAGGAGTTTCTCAAGGAACAGTCTTAGGTTTACTCTCGCTTTAATCTGTATTAAAGTATCGTCAGATGAAATGAGCTTGATGGCAGTGATCTATGTAAAAGACGAAAAATCTAGATGATATTGTGAAGCATAGGGGATTCGCTTGAGCATTAATATGACCTCACATCAATCAACGAATGGACAATAGACAGTGAGTTAAGACTTAACCTATCGAAATGTCGTGTCATGGACATTCTGATTCACTTGATATAAAGCATTTAAGTCTTCAATGAAAATCTGCTCCCTACTGTCTCCTCAGAGCGGGATCTTGAATTTATGACCCCAGAGAGCCTAAACATCAGCTCAGAATACATAGATGATGCAAATTTATTACTCCATCTTAGGGCTAGATAACTTTAAACAATGACCATGAAGTTATCTATAGCACTGTTTAAAATGTGCACGAAGCCCCAATTTGAAGTTCACAGTATCGTTTCCCCCCTCCTCTTCAGAAGAGTTATAAGTCTATTAGACCAAGTAAAGAAACGGATAATCGTGCCGGTGAAAATTGTTAAATAAAAACCTTACTAGGATAGGCTCCAATACCTGGTATTATTCTCATTGATCTACAAGAGAATAACAGGTGATCTGATAATTACATTTTAGGAAGTACGCCAAGCCTTCCTGAACATAAGTATATAACCAGAACATCAACTCCACTCTCCTCAAGGCAACCGTTGAGAAATTGCACATTAAAGAGCAAATGCCAAGGTTCTCCTCCACTTTTTCTCATTACGAGTTGTCACCAGTTGGAATACTCTCTCAGCAGAAGTAAGCCAAGCTCCATCACTAGATAGCTTTAGGAGGAGACTTGACGAACACATACCCATAGATTAACGTTTCCCTCTTGGACCAGGATTTCCTGATGCATGTCTTGTAAATTACTGCAGTTGTCATTATTTCATATCAGTAGCAACTTTGTATCCATCTCCCTTCCTATCCTTTTCATACATGATCAAGTAGCTAACTTACTTGCTATTAATGAAACAACTGTCTTCTCTTAGAACTCTAATCATCACTGTGTTATTTTCACGTTTCAACTAATCAACCCCCTTGCCTAACAATGTAATAGTTGCTGGTATTCACAAACCCTACTGTCCTGAGACAAACACACTCAGTCAAACTATTAGATATATAAATCCAAAAATAACTAACAAAATGACAAACATTAATACAGTCGAGTGGTTAGACTACCACCCACTGTACATTGTCGAATATACGAAACCGTACCGAGACAACAAGAAGCAAACAAAAAGAAATCGACCAGTTTATACAGGTCCGTGCCAAGGTTATTGAAAAGTTTGTTTTAATTGTTGATGTCATTAGTGAGAACAACTGTCGTTTATTTGAGTTTTTAAGACCAAGATTAAAAACATTTTTGAAGTGAGAAATGAACAGTTCCAGGTATTCTTATGACAAAAATTACAACAAGATGTATTTTAGAAGCATAGCTGGTTCCAAAATAAAAAAGTCCAGACCCAAGTCAGATGTCAAGTTAGTGCTCACTACAAATCAGAAACGAGATTTGCTAGACGCTTTCAAACTTCTAGATAATGAAGGATCAGGTCTCATTAAGGCACGTGAAATAAAAGTTGCTTTAAGGGCTTTGGGGTTTGATCCAACGGCTGCTGACATCAGACAGATTATTTCAGAGCATGATCCCGAAAACAAGGGTTTGTCAGTATGGCGTATTATATGAAGTGTGAAGGTTTTATTGACTTTAAGGGTTTTCTGAACATTATGACATCAAAGATGACCGAAAAAAGTGACAAGGCAGATCTTATAAAAGCCTTTAGAATCTGTGATGACGACGATTCTGGTAAACTGACTCTTTCAAAACTTAAACGAGCTGCCCAAATACTTGGAGAAGATATAACCGATGAAGAATTACAAGTGAGTCCTTACCCGGAGAAAACACAATGTTTCGATTCAAGGAACATGTCTGGTATATTAGACTATTTAAGAAGTCTGCCACCAGGTTATATAAATCAACTGGTTTCCTTGGGCTCAAGACCGATTGCTAGGGTGCCTTTCCAGAGTTAACTGTCACATAAGACGGGTCAACCATGGTAGTTTTTGCCACTAAGAGATTGGTGGCCTTCCCAATAAGGTTGATAGAGAGTCAGAGAATCCACAATATTTCTTTCATTAAACTTTGCTGCTGAGGGTGTACTCTTTTCAAGAAACAGAGTGCGACTTTTAATTGATTAATGAGCAATGCTTGTTCTTAAACTTGACGGGGATCGGTGTGCTGTTTAATATTCAGTGATCAGACTGCCATGTGACATGGATAGGGCCCAGTGGTATTTAATTGGCCCTACAGACAAAACTCTTTGTCAATCTTGACCAACCAATTGTGCTGTCAACTAGAATGACAGGTTTCCATCACAATCAAGCAATAGAACTGTTACTTCAAAACTCGCCTTCTGTTTTTATTCTTAAAAATGGTTGTTTTACCTCCTTTTTCCACTACTAATGTGTTTCACAGCTGCTATGTAGTGCAAGACTTAATGGTGGTTATTTTACTTGCTTAATAATAAGCATTGTATATCTCACAGATACAGAGGTTGACGTAAGTCAGGAATAAACTAGAAAGTTCTGAGTATCTGAGCTAAAGTTATGATAGCTCTGATTCACTGAGAGTTAGCAAAGCTCATTTTGTCCACCAACCAACCAATATATCCAAATAATTCATCTCCTATTGTTCAGAAAAGTGTTTGAGCGAGCCGGTCCTGGAACACCATTTTGTATCTCAAAGAAGATTAAATAATTATTTAAAACGATGTAAAGTTCTGTTAACCAAAATGAATTTTAATTCGACGACTATCGTTTTCTTAAACGAAATATAAAAATGTGGTTCTGTAAATTATTCTTATATCTCTGTTTGTATCGATTTAGGAAATGATTGACGAAGCGGATAAAAATGGTGATGGAGAGGTTAGTGAAGAGGAATTTCTGTGGATTATGCGTAAAACAAATATTTTTTAAAATGGAATCAAAGATCAAAATGTTTTCATTTCTTAAAAAAAAATATTTTTAAATATTTTTACGTATTAGTAAATCTAATAGTCCAATCTATGTAATTATGACAATTCACTTTTTAACAACCTGATCTTTGTAAAAATAATCACCTCTGTGTTTCATATGTAGGATATAAATGATTCAAAATCATCATTTCAGTAAGACTAAAACTATTATCAATCGATATTACGAGGTACTCATTTTATTGAGCTTATTAAACAAATACACACAAGTATATATATATATATATAATTAGGGATCAATAACTCAATATATCCATCACTCAAAAATATGTTGTGCTCAAATTTTCATTTCTTACTATCTGAAAAAATGCATCAGTTAGTAACAAACAGACAAATTAAATTGTTAAACAGATTTCTACTCTTCATTTTAATAAAATCCATTCTTTTTATCTATGTTTATAATGATAATATTAACTTTTGTTGTATTTTTAACAGTAGAGATGTTCATCAGGTTTAACAGTTTTTTACGGATGATTGATACTCTTTGTCTGATTTTCTAAGTATTGTTGAATGTTCACCGTGTGAGTAAACGATTGACTGACTGAGCAACTGCATGTCTGACTGTAACTGACTGAATGTGAGTGAGTGAATTTGTGTTTGTTTGTTTGTGATCAGGCGTCTTGCACCCAATACATCCGACCACCATTTTGTTGTCCAATTATTATTAACCCCGTGTATAGGGCTGCTAAAAAAACTTCGATTCTTGGCCGACATTTCTTACTATGCAACAAGCTACAAGAGTAAAACCGTGACAGTTAGCCCAACCAACACACATTCCACAGTTTACGTATGGAACTTTCGCTATTCAAAATGATTTGATAGAGATATATAGGAGATGATTCTATAATAGGTTACTGAAAGATAAGATTGTGAAATTAGATGGGCGTATACTGAAAATTTCTTTAAAAGATACTTGGTAGATATTAAATTGTGGTCGTTTCGTCCTATTATGGGACTCCTCAGCAGTACACATACACGACCCCGCATCGCGAGTTTCAAACCCAGGACCTATCAGTCTCGCACCAGAGCACTTAACCGATAGACCACTGAGCCTACATCCAACGGTGTTAATGTCTAACTTCAACCAATCCACAAAATTTGAGCAACCGTTCACCAATCGTCTTCAGTGAGTTATCATCTCACAACAGATGTGGTTGAACTCCACTGGTCACTGCTTCCCACTAGAACTCCAGGACATGTATCTTGAAGTCAGTTACTAGTGAGCAAATACTGAAATCTCCACAAATCCCCTTCTGAGCAAGTAATTTTATATAAAAATAATAAACTAACATTATTAAAATATCACCAATCGTATAATCTGTGTAAAAATTTCAAAGCAGTAACTTGGTTGCGCAACATTATAAACAGTACATCAAATCTAAACATCTGAATAAGAACCAATTTCATGAGCAGTTTACGGTAAGGAAGAAGTAAAAGTTATGATGAAAATCATAGAAAAATTCAATTAAATGTCACCATACTGAATAATTTTTAGTACTATAGAGATTTAATTACAAAAACGAAGAATTAGTGATGTTGACAAGAATAATTTGGATATTCCGAATCAGCTTTTGAAGAACGTTTCATTCAGCAGGGAAAAAGCTTAGACCATTAATTCTTTTGAAGAATGTGGATAATGCGATAAGGTAAAGATTATCAGAATTATAGGATATATTTGCGCAATACATTTTGAACAATCTAATTACATATATACATGTTAAGACATATCTGAAAAATAATAGATCAACTAGACAAATTTAGTACAACGTCTGACTGAACGCTTCAGTCGGTTCCTTAAGCTTTCCTAGTAACCACAGGCTAATCTACACAGCAACTTGAACATGAGAAGAAAGTCGCGAAATGTCGAAAGAACGCTTAACTCCAAGGTTTGTTAATATACTGAAAATTGATGGTATTTGTTGCATTTCAGACCTCCTTGAGTTTCTGAAATGTTCCAGAACTCTTTTAAACATAGCACTAGGATGGGTAATTAACCAATCAGAAATATGACATGTTACTCTTCACTTTCGAGACATTTCCGAAAACTTTTATTAAATTTTGACTGGATAAAATATTTCCAGAGTTTTCAGGGCCCCTTTGGTATTTTTTGAGGAATTTTCCGGGTCACTGCAACAAAATTGAAAGTAATAATAGAAACCACACAAACAAAGTGAAAACTACGCTGGATAGTAACTCATTATTAACAGAGTAAGTTAAGGGTACGAATAAACGTTATTCGAACATATAAGGAGGTCCTAGTTTTCCTACAGTTGAGGCTTCAATAAACACTAGTAGACTCCGTTTAAATATTATGTACAAAACTACAATGGCTGACTTGATATCAACCTTATGACCAGGCTCAACCAAATGTTTCGCAGTGGAGTAAGATATTCGTCTACCCTGTGATCTTAGTTGACCATTAGAATTCACTTGTTGTTGTAGCCACCGCCGCCCTTACTTACAGCTGACGATTTCTCCTCTGTATGTATGTGTTTCCGTACATACATGTAAATCAGTAGACTCATTGGGATGTGATACAGTTGTTTGTATGTTGTTTGGGTTTTTAGTGAAACACAGACCTTTAATTTTCGATAATGACGAGGTGGTCTGCATTCCTACATCTGAAGAGCATATGGATCTCAAAACAACTTTCTGCATGCCAATATCAAGGCGAGGATCTTCAAAACGAACGTCAAGACAGTTGTAGTGTACAGAGCTGAAACTGCCAGAACTACTACAACCATCATCGAAGAATTAAAAGTGTTTACCAAAGGTTGTCTACATAAGATACTCAATATCCGTTAGCCAGATATAATCAATAGCAGTTTACTCTGGGAGATGACAAACCAGCTTCCATTTGAAAAGGAAATTAGGAAAAGATGTTGGAAGTGCATAGGATTCGCATTACTGAAATCACCAAACTGCATCACGTGGCAAGCGCTAACTTGGGAAACGGAAAAGATGAAGGCCGAATAACAAATGGAAGCAGATATGAAAAGGATAAGTAGCAACTGCAAAGAACTGGAAAGAATTGCTTGGGATAGTGTTGGATTTAGAGTACTGGTGGGCGGCCCTTGCTCCTCCACAAGGGGTAACAAGCGTAAGTAAGTGAGTAAGTCACACAAATTACCAACAGTATTCCTATGAGGTCCATTCATAAATAAAATGTTTATATCAAAGCAGCACAGTGTCTTAATTTTTACATTAATATCCATTAGGTAATTAATTAATTCAAGTCAGTCTTCTGAAGAATACTCACGAATTTGGTTTCGGATAGAATTACAGAACTAAACAAGCGTGATATCAGACACCACCGAGTGATCAATCAATGTAAATATCTGTCGCACAGGAAGTCAGTCGTAGCCCAAAAGAGTTTATGCTGATGTTTCCGACTGTAAAGATCGGTGATGTGGGCTCGAATTCCACAGGAAGCACCAATTCTCTTGAGATTGCAGACACTCTTGAATGACGAGTGCTAGTAAGCAGCAAACTTACTGTGAGGAAGGTTTCCTTTCTACTGTATGGCTTCTACTAACATCACAATACATTTAAATATAAAGATACGAAGTCAAATATAACTAGACAATTAGACAATGAAACTTTTGAACTACTCATACTCTAACAGAAATAAAACTTGGTTATGAAGCTTAATTATTTCCTGTCGTATCTAAATAGATTCGAATTTAGGATTATACATGAAAAGTATACACTATATTCCAGTCATTTCACCATTCACAAATACTCACGAATTGATTTGATGAACATTTCAAAATTCAAGTCCTTTATTTCTAAAATGTAATTTCCTGTGAATGTGACTATTTCTTTCTGACAATTTAGTCAAACTTTAAACTGTAGAATCTGATAAGAGTTTATTCTATAGTTGAAATCATGAGTCAATTGAAGCTAGACCACTATGGAAAACCTCGAAGCACTGGACGATCGTTTCGTCTTATTGTGGGACTCCTCAGTAGTGCTCACCTACGATCCCGCCACGTGACATTCGAACCTAGGACCTATCAGTCCCGAGTACGGGCGCTTAACCTCTAGACCACTGAGTCGGCATCCAACGGTGTTAATGTATAACTTCAACCAATACACGAGTTTATTCAACAGCAGATTTATCGTGATAGACATTTTTGAGCACTTATGAATATTTTACTCAGAGTTGGATAGTGTTTAACAGTGGTATCCAGGACACGTTGAACATTGAAGATATATTAAATTTTTTTTATAGATTATGTTTAATATACAAAAAAATCAGTACTCAGAAGGGGTTTTGTGGAGACTTCAGTATTTTTCATAGTTGAAATCATGAGTCAATGGACGCTAGACCATCATGGAAAACCTGGAAGCACTGGATGGCCGTTCCGTTCAATTATAGGACTCCTCAGCAGTGCGCATCCATGATTCTGCACTCACGAGGATTCCCATAATAGGACGAAACAGCCGTCCAGTGCTTCCAGGTTTTCCATAGTGGTCTAGCGTTTATTGACTCATGATTTCAATCATGAAAAATCAGTACAATAAATAGTCAAAGCACTGGATTAGAATGATGACGTGAGTTTCGAATCTAAACCACACCCATCTTCTTAAATATGGAAAGATAGTAAACAAATTAGTAGAATCTTAATTTGTTGTTTAAAAGGTTGATTTCTTTTATGTATATTAATTTATAACTGAGTGTAAGAGTTTTAGTCAACTAGTGTGAACTCATTAAAATAACTGTCGAATGCTAATAGTTTAACCTTAACCATTGAATTAGATTGAAAGGAACAATGAATGAAATTTCTCATTAAAAATAAACTGATATCATTTAAGGTTATGATTAGTAGATGGTAACCACATATAGGATGACAGGAATGTAAGAATATGTAGGTGATTAACCTGTTACATTAAGACTCATGCATTTCCATATGACGAGAGTTAGGCAAAAATGGTTGATAATTTATTTTTTATGGTAGGGAGATTTGTAGTTATGAGTGTATGAGATATATTGTTTTAAAATTCTGGTTCATTGATCTGACGCTAAACAATAAACATATGATGGTATTTCCACCCATTCAGTTACAGTAATATAGATTCTAACTAGAGTCGTCATCAGTGTAAGTAGATAAGTTTAAGTTCTGTGGTGTGGTCTACTTATATCTATATAAGTAGTATATGGTGTTGGTCAGACATAGAATGTATTTGGGCGGAAGACCGATGAGCAAAGAACTGAAATGAAGCGCAATCGTTTGGAAAATGCATGAGCAATGAAATTAGAGAAGAAACAGAGAAGATTGAAACAATTGGTTGTTAATTTGCAAATTGACTGTTCATTGTTTGGTTATCAGAATTTACTGAGATAGTCTGTAATTTTTGCTTAAATACATTCGACTGTCCCCAACCTGTGTTTTGTTCACTACAGTTCTAATATGGATCTACTTACACAGATCATACACAGAATGTTTTATCCATGTGCATTCATGAATAAGTAATTCCAAGTCTGGAAACATAGATGAGTAATCTTTTATTCACTTCTGTTTTTTCTAAGCCGATCGATAACAAAATTGACATTTGAATAAATGAAGCATCTTCGGTTTTCGTTTAGATTCGATATTTTTTGGCACAAAGTACACTATTAGGTTCTCTAAGCATATTGGTAACTATGCTAATAAAATTGTAGAAACTCAATTTATAGATCCAAAAGAACATGTGCAACAGCCATGCTCAAGCTTACTTAAGAATTGGTTGAACTCCACTGGTCACTGTTTCTCACTAGAACTCCAGGAAATATCTCTTGAGACCAATCACTAGTGAGCATATGATTATTATCAGGTGGGGTTTTTTATGCAGATTTTAAAGATATTTTGATAGTTGAAATCATGAAACTGATAGGTCCTGGGTTAGAATCTTGGGAGGCGGGATCGTGGATACGCACTGATGAAGAGTCCTACAGTAGGATGAAACGACCGTCCAGTGGTTCCAGGTTTTCTATGGTGATCCAGCTTCAATTGATTTCAACTATCAAATTACTAAAATATCACAAAACCCCTTTCTGATTACTTAAGAATTACCCCACTCTGTGTCAAAAAGATTACTTCGCCTTCATATTATGAATCCTGAAAATCCTTTTTTTTATTTTTGATGCTCTCTCACTTTTTCTTGTGAAGTGACTGTAATAGTCGTAAAAGTCTTTACTTCATTTGTTATTCATATAGTTACTTACTTACTTACGCCTGTTACTCCCAATGGAGCATAGGCCGCCGACCAGCATTGTTATTAATTTACCTAATTGTTATATAATTTCAGTCTTAATATTGAGGATCTGTTCATAGCCATCCAAAGTATTTCCAACCTAAGAACTTTCAAAATACGGCCATTTACCAATGAAAACAAGTAACTTGTTTTTTATTCACAGGATCCAGCTTTTTCAAGTTCCTTGAAGACCAATATCAATGTGTCATGAGTTTCCTAAGCAATTAAATCAAATACTCTTACAATTGATTGTTCAACAAGTAATGAACAAGTCATTATTACTGATGATCGAATTCTATAGATCAAGTTTTATTTTGTCCTCTAGCAAAAGTTGTCAGCACCAAGAAGACTAAGTCAGTCAGCTACAACGTGCGATCAGGTACATATATGCACCGGTTCAAGTTGCCATATCTTATTAGCACAACATGATGAACACCAAATTCATTGAAGCAGCTACTTGAGTTGTAGTAAAAATAATTTCATGTAACGACACGATACAGGGAAAAAGAATTAGTTCTTAAAAAGAAAGGTACAAAATAATCTGAATCTTACGGTTTAAGGGAAGACAAAGAGTGTATATACCTTCGCCATTGTGATCGGTTCTGAGACATGTCATACAGAGTCCCCAAACATTGGTTACGATAGTTGCGTAGACTGCAACCAAGTAGTCTCTGTCTACTACCATGGCTCACACTAGAATTTAGTGACTTTATAGGCTGATGCCACGTTTTGGTTTGGCCGCCCCTAACTCTCTTCTATTCGTCCCCAACACTAGCCAGCATTACGCGCCTTGGTAATCGGTGGTAGGGCATGCGTAACACGTGGTCCAACCATTTCAGCCGATGAAGGTTCATAACTTCATCAACTGATTTACCATCAATCCTTAATACCCTGCGTCTAGTTTCACTATTACCTACCCGGTGATCCCAGCAGATATGAACAATATTTCTAAGACATATGTGATCAAATACTAAGAAGCACCTGATACATATGACGTTAGTCATCAATCAATGATTACTTAATTGTAAATACATCTCAATTCTACAGAGGATCAACCACAGCCCAAATACCTCACATGTGCTGCCGTCGTTTGTGAAGCTGAGCGACACAAGATCGAATCTGCTGTGAGTATCAGTAAACTCAAGATTACAAATATACCCACCTAAAGAGTACCAGATAACAAGAAACCTGGGTCGAGCTAGGTTTCTTGTTGACTACGTTCAACCACCATCACCTTCAAACTAAGCACCTGTCCGAATTAATATGCATTTCATTGAATGATATACACAGATCTCATATAGCTATTATTAAAGGTTCATAGTCGTCGCAAAACGTATTTCTGCATCAAATTATAACTGATCATTAAAAATGGATGTTAGCTCAAGATTGTTTGGTAATAGAGCTCTAAACGAGAACGATGTTTGATTAGAGTTTTTTCTTAGCTAATAATTTAAAATTTGATGATCATTTTCTCTATGAAACGGCATCATTTGGATCACCACCGAAAGCTAAGAAACACTGAATAGATACTTCTTACAGATCTTTTTACACACATTAACCTCCACGGAGACGAAATTAGAACGTTTAAGCTTTAGTATTCCATTTACCTATTGATATTCTTGAAGATTTTTTCAAGTTAGGGTGTAAATGTTTTGTCGTATTAAACAAAAACACTAGATATATCATTTATTCATTAAAGATAAAAGAGATAAGAATTAGATTCTCTGTAATTGAAATTTTAGATTGTAAGATTAAACCATTGATCAAAAGGTTAATTGTTTCTAGTTTATTAAAAGAAATAAACCTGAAGAAAGGCACAAATTAAATGTATATTCACATATTTTGTTGTATATTTAGGGTGTATATGTCTTAATTGAATTCTTATGAAAAACTGAACTACAATTAATTGCATGCTAACTACAAGGTAGTTGTATTGTCTACGGTAATTTATGTATATACATATATACTTCATATATATGTATGCATTCTGATTAAAAGTTACTTTGATTTTTCGCTCTAAAGGTTAGGTTTCAGGAATCACTAAAGTGATATATATATATATAGATAATATAATATGGTATAATATAGGTGATTTTAAAGTAGCTCTGATCATGGATTAGCATTAACTAACTAACTAACTAAACGATAAAGATCAAAGAGTACTAGATAATTATTCTTGTTAGGTTGTAGGAAGGAGTATATAAGAAACTCTGAATCTAGGTAAGTATAGTGTATCCGGTTCTTTTAAGGAACTGATTGCTTTTGTGTGATCTGAACCCGTATCATTTAGCTTTACTGTCTAAGATATTGCCACTAAAGTATTCGGGCTGTAATAGA